GCCTAGGTTGTCCCACAGTCCTCCCCCACCCTGGATTGTCTTTGCAAGGAGAAAACCTGATGGACAGGGTCATTCACAGGGAAATGAGCTAGGTGCCCACAAAGCCTGAGTTGGCAGTCCCGGATGATGCAAGTAACAGTTCGCATGCTGGTATCACAGTGTAATCATCAGTTGGACACATAGTCCTGCCAACTGTACCCCATCATCCAGCATAGGGACTTGTTACAAAAGGCATCAAGACAAGACTTCAAGGCACTAGATAGTGTCCAGGTTTCACTTTTATACAATAATACTGGCAGTATCAAGGTCTTGAAGACACACAGGTTGCATTGGTACTGTCAGAAGCTCCACATACTCTTGTTGATTGAGTTCATGGCTCCTGTTGCCTGACCAATCCATCTACTGGTTTCTTGGTCTGACAGTCCAGAGACATGGACTACTCTGCCGAGGAATGTAAAGCTCTCAGTGATTTTAACGTCCTCACTGCAAGCATGAAAAGGTACCCTAAACAAGCCCCCAAAATCCTGGTCTTGGTCCAGGAGACTTCTAGGCCTCATTGCTATATGCATCAAAAGTTGCCACCAGTGATTCCAGAGATAGAATAGCAACATCATCAGCAAAGTCCACATTGTCATTTTTGGGTAATAGCTCTGCCCATTACCCAGTCCATAACAGTGTTGAAAAATTTTGGTGCGAGGACATAGCCTTGCCTCACCCGAGGTAACAGGGAAGAAATTGAACAGACCCCTACCACACTTTCCAGCACTTTCAGTATCAGTATATTTGTTTGCTATTAAGCCAATAATCAGGATTCCCCTATGTCTCAAGATCTCCCACAGCGATTCATGATGCACCGAGTCAAATGCCCTCTTGAGATCAATGTAGGCTGCAAGCAACCCACAACCAAACTCACAACAAAGTGCTAGGAGATGGCTATGGCTACTCCCTGAAAATGACCATCGCTCTGGCCCAACTGGTAGTAGGTGTACCCCAAACATAATGACCTTTCCATATTTCTACCACTAGAAATACTACCACATCAAGGAAGTATCACAGTGAAGCGTAATAATGGGTGCACAATGATATAAGGTTAGTACAATTCAATTAATGTATATGGTGAACCAGCAAAATCTAAATATTTACAGCACATAAGTATATGCATTTAATAAAAAGCCCCTACAATACAAACAGTATTACTAAAAATTATTACCAATTTGCTCGAAGTTCACTGTCTATTACAAACAACCACAATTGATGGATTTGGTGTTCTGTTAGTGTGTGCATTGAAATCGGACTAAATGCATTAGTAGTTACGTAGGATGGGTAATTATTTGAAGCTGCATGGCATGAAGTAACTACCATGGCCTCTGAAGTATTTGGTGCTCAGGCAAAGGCAAATAAATTCCAGCTTACATTTTATAGCAGGTATAAATACTGAAGTGTTTCCATATTTGACAATAATCATCACTAAGGTTTGCAAGTTCTGTTACTGAAATGTGTTTGAAAGTTTGATGATTGAGAGTGATGACATCCAAGTAAACCACATAGGCTGCAACTCTGGATTGACTGTCAACAAACACAAACACAAATTTTTATTTCTAATTTTCATTTTGTACTACTTTTAGTAAATGCAATTAATCAATAAAATACTATAACTATTTGAACAACAGTCAATGTAGATTTATGCATTAATTTTATTTTATTTTTATATTTAAACCATGATTTAATGCATTTGCATTGTTCATCAATCATGCAAAAAGTAATCCCAGATTTAACCTCAGAATTGTAGACCATAAATGTATAGGTGAAACATGGCTCCTGTCCCCATGGAGATTCAACAAACACAACTCAAAGCTATTTTAGTGTTTTTGTTGTTTTCTCATGTGTAAATCATGCTAATTCTTCCCAAAAATACAGTGCTACACAGATGCTTAAACATTTTATCAACTTTGCCATTAGGGAATGCAAGTTATGTCAATAATTAACAAGTCACATGCAATGGAAACCAACAGCATAACAGTGCTTAATAACAAAGGAGTTTTCCATTCCCCATTTTTTTTTTTTTTTATTGAGTAGGAGGGTGAAATTGGAAATTTACCAAACAATAACATTATGGACAGCACATGTTTAAATACATTCTCAATATCGGGGAACACAAGTTATGGCACTAATCATTGAGTCAAATGAAATGGAAAACAACAGCAAAAAAGTTCTAAACAATGAAGGAATATTCCATTAAAAAAAAGGAACACTATGTAGTTGGAGGCATTGGCAGAAATGACTAATAAAACCTATATGAAATGATAGAACATTACAACCTAAGACAAAGTTCTATAAAGAGAAATGTTTTGTTTTCAGTGCTACGTTGACTGGGTTATTTATAAGACTATACAGTGGTAACAAAGAAGAATATACATTAGTAAGCATTCCATTTTGATATCTATGCTCACTAAGAGTCCCAAATGTCAAAAAGTGCAGGCACAAATGATTCTGACAATCGCTAGAACATAAAACAGGTGAACACTATCAATGTATAAAGGTATGTAGTTTTCACCAATCAAATTATTAGAATCATTTACTATATCAATAGAACATATTGTGTAAATCAACCACAACACAGGGGTCCAGGCACATGTATTACCATGGGGTCCAGGGAATATATACCATGGTGTTAGGTTAAGTTGGATGATGGGTTAGGACATTTTGTCTAACAAGCATTGGAGTCCAGGGGCTTGAGCCCCCTGACAACGAGCATAAATTAACACAGGGGTAGAATATGCTAGATGCATGCAAGGGGCTTTTGGTGGCATTTAGGCCGTAGATTTTATTGGATTAGTTGGATGCCCCTAGAGTTTTTTAAAAATTGGTAAGTCAAACTGTAGGCTTTCAAAGACAGCAGGTGTCCATATACTTTTGGTTAATTTTCCAAAAATGACAATCGGGTCTTCCCTGACAATGTTTATATCATCAGATTTGTTCTCGTGTGATGAGAACAAATCTGATGATATTCTCCGTCGCATTCTCCAGCCGACAACCTTGATGTGATTTGATAAGTCCCGATAGCAGGGGAGGGCATGAAGTAGATCAGGGAAATTACGGGGTAAAACAGGCTGAAATGAGCAAAATAGAGAGCAGAAATGTGTAAAAAAAAAGCACAAAGAACGCTAAAAATCGGCTAATGAAACTCTACGGACATCGCCGCCATCTTTGAAAGTCTACGGACCAACATGCCAACTTTCGAAAAACTCTACAGGAACCAAACCCACCATTCGGTAAAAATATATGGGATTTCACATAATCCAGATCCCCTGTGGTAATCGTACAATGCATCCCAACCAATAAACCAACCTAACCTAACCCTGTGGGATTTATACACTACGATCTATACATTCCCTAGCCATGAGGCTCTGTCCCCTGGACCCCCATGGTATTAAATGCACCTAGCCAGGGGGCTGAACACCCTTGAACCCCCTTAGTAATATATACGCCTAGCCAGGGGGCATAGCCCCCTGGACCCCTGTGGCTTTATGAAAATACAATCTATATATTACCTAGCCCCCCGGATCCCCAGGGTTAAACCACATACCTTTATAAAGCGAAAAACCGAACTTTTTTGCGCTTCTGTTTATGGTCAGAATTGCTTGGTTTCTGGTCACTTTTTTTGGCATTTGGGGCACTTGTTGGGCTCAAATATCAGGCTTGTTATTAAGAATAATGTTTATTTGACCTGTATATCCACAATATAGTTTTAAAAATAACCCTATGTCGACGAAGCACTTGAAATGAAACATTCTTCATCGGTGTTCCTCAGCGAATGGCAGTGGGTTGACCTGTCAAATCTCCCGGTGAAAACACGCATGCTCAAAAGGTTATTGTACAGAATAACGTAAATAATTACCAAAAGATGCAAGAGAAGTATAATAAACATAGAAGAATGCATTACATACATGCAAATGCTTCCCAAGGGTGCTATACGTAAAAGAAAAGAGAAGATCCCCAAATTTTGGCTAAGTCGCTCATCTTGTTTACATTGCGAGGGTTAATTATAGATGCATATACTACTACGGGGTTCCAGGGGCATAGCCCCCTTGCTAGGCATATATAATACTATGGGGGTCCAGGGGCATAGCCCCCTGGCTAGCCACATGTACTACCACAGTGTTAGGTTAGGTTGGACGTTGGGTTAGGATGTTTTGTTTAACAACCACGGCGGTCCTGTTTTACCCTATAATTTCCCTGATATACTTCATGCCCCCCCCCCCCCCCTGTAATGACAAAATAAGCGTTCTCACAAGCGCGTATCAATGCATGGACTACTTGTTGGATCGCAGTAATGAGTTACGCGTCACATTTGTTTTGATCCTCGCGAGGTAACCATGGAAGGGGACTTAGAAAATGAAGGGTCGATCATCTGTCTTCTCTGTCCTGTATCTCCCTTATTTTAGATTTGCGCACCTTTTACCATAGATGAAAAGTGTCTTAGTTTTCATCAAGGTATCCATTCCATACACTTATTTTACTGTACTCTTGGTTGACATGTTTGGAACGTTTTCCATACTTTCAAATTACTTTAATTTCAGCCTGTTTAACCCCATATTTTCCCTGATATACTTCATGTCCTCCCCTGCTATCAGGACTATCAAATTAAGATTATCAACGGAAATATCTCCTCAACGATTCATTTGCACATGGAATGAAGCCTAGAATCATTGAACTCAATAGATTTCATACAGAAAAAACATCAGAATTGTTCCGAAAGCAAGCCACTAACTACCCTGTTATCCATAGTGACCGAAATTCCATTTAGTATATACACCCACTACAATTATGCTATATATGGAGCTTTAATCCACAAAAAGTATGTTCTCCCAGTTATCTCTGGGTGTTACAATGCTTCTGAATGTCTATAATATCGCCGCATTTGCAGCATAAAATTAAACAACTGGATGACGTGTCATCCTGTATCCTACCTTTGGAACCAACCATTTCTTTTATCCTACCTGGTATTCCACATCTATGGTTTCCCCGGCTTTCACGTTCTCGTAGAAACATTCCTGCGTCCCTGCCTTCACTTCCACCGTCATTTCTCTTTCAATGTCCCTACAGTGCGACAGGGAAATGAGGCAGAGCAATGTGACTAGAGAAGTGAGCTTCTGACTGGCCATTGTTTACACCGAGGCTGAAGGGACACGAACCTAGAAAGGGAATGGAGAAAATGTTTTAGACATTCCTTTTCATTAGTAACATTTCACTCGGCTATCTTCTGCCTGACTTATAAAAATCACTGTGGATAATTTATTTATATTCATTTACTTATCATGAAATGTATGCAACCCATTACAAAGAGCACAAGAAGTATCGGTGTCAGCGAAGGCAGCAGACGAGGCGCTGCGCCGGACTGAAGAAGGAAGCTCATGTGCCGGAGGTGCGGCCAGTACGCCTGCATTTAGTTACCTTCTCTAAAAAAATACGAGAAGGAATGGCCAGGAACAGCTACAGAAACTTCTTACGTTTGTTAGAAAAGTGGCCTTTGGACGAGAGCAAGAAAGGGGGAAGGTGAGAGAGAGTGGGAGACTTCTTTATTTTTTTATTTTATTTTTATTGTTATTATTATTATTATTATAAATATATATATATATATATATATATCTATATCTATATATATATATATATATATATATATTTTTTTTTTTTTTTTTTTTTTTTTTTTTTTTTTTGGGGGGGGGGGGGTATAACAGAATATTTTCAATTTTGCATTTTGATGTCTATGTCGTGAGTACCTTGCTGCCATTCCATTACAGGAATTGCACATAAATAATTTCAAGGCATGAAATTGATTCATAGTCTTCGATTTACGTAATATTATACCCATCTCAATCTCAGTGGTGATAAAGCTAAAAATTAACGCAAATCATGCTTAAACATATATGTGTTGTAATTTATTAACAGAATTAACACTGGTTGAACATGAATCCACATCTAAAATATAGAGGCCTCCTATCCCCATAGCCTATCCTCTCGGCCCTTCATCTGGTGGAGAGTTAACCAGTGGTTGGTTGGTACTATGATTGTGGCATTTTGTCAAGTGACTGCCATAGTATCAGTAACTTATGCTTCATCAAAGTGAGGCAGATCTTACTATTTAAATTATTGGAAAAGGGGACAGTACACTATCTGTAAGGATATTTTTTTCTTTTTTATCATTGGACACTCAACTAACTCTTTCTAAAGACCAAAATGAAAGACTACTTGATGTAAAGTCTAGGGAAGGTACCTCAATCATTTGCTGTTTTTTTTGGAAAAAGATAAATGATTTCCTTTTTTATCAAAATGAAACAAGAATAGAGATTTCTCACATATATAGTTAACAAATGTTACTATACCACTTGAAATCTATTTTTTTTTTTTTTTTATGTGATTTGGTCTGTAATCATAAATGTAAATAATTCATGTAAAAAAATAAACGGACAATATGTAGTATAAGGTACTGGTAGAATTGGGTAATAAAACCTACATGAAATGATAGAACAATGCAAACCAAGACAAAGTTCTTCTATGGCAGTATGTGTGCAAATGCTTCCCAAGGGTGCTAAACGTAAAAGAAAAGAGAAGATCCCCAAATTTTGGCTAAGTCGCTCATCTTGTTTACATTGCGAGGGTTAATTCTAGACACATTTACTACCACGGGGGTCCAGGGGCATAGCCCCCTTGCTAGGCATATATAATACAATGGGGGTCCAGCTAGCCACAAGTACTACCACAGTGTTAGGTTAGGTTGGACGTTGGGTTAGGATGTTTTGTTTAACTACCACGGCGGTCCTGTTTTACCCTATAATTTCCCTGATATTCTTCATGCCCCCCCCCCCCTGCTATTGGAACTATCATATCAAGATTGTAGATGAAGATGTTGATCATGTCTCCTCAACGATTCATTTGTACAAGAAATAATACCTTGAATTGTTGAAAGCAGTGGATTTCATACAGAAAAATATCAAAATTGTTTTGAAAGTAACCCACTACCCTGTTCTACATATTGTCCGGGGGATCTTCTCTTTTCTTTTACGTATAGCACCCTTGGGAAGCATTTGCACACATATTGCCATAGAAGAACTTTGTCCTGGTTTGTATTGTTCTATCATTTCATGTAGATTTTATTACCCAACTCTGCCACTACCTAATACGACACGTTGACCAATTATGGGTGGTATTGATCCCCCCCCCCCTCCCCATTGCTAGTTTTATGGTAAGTTTAGAAATTTGCTTTTAGAATTTAGAAACAAAAAAGTAACAAAAATTTTGAGCTTGAATAATGAGCAAACCCTGTAACCATCCATTCATGTAGGCCTAATGTTATGATTGTTATGCAATAAACTAGATATATTTTTTCATTGCCAAAAATAATGAAAAAAGAGGAAAATTCCAAAATAAATTTACTGTTATTTCAGCAAAACTCCTTCATCTCTATTATAAATATTAGGACAAAATTTGTAAAAATAAAGATTATATGACTATTTTTTTACCCTCCTACTATCCTGCAAGATCATCTGTCATTTGTGCATAATTCACATATAAAGTTGTTTAGTATGGAAAATTTTACAAAACATGAGAAAATGTAACAATCTCTGAACTCCTAAAGGCTATTTGGGTGGTAGATTTAGAGGCAAACATGCTCATAAATATTCAGTGTCATTATGTCTGTCTTGCATTTCTCAATTTGCATTGTGTTGTGTCCTTTTTTTATTAGTAAATTCAGTGATTTACAATTATGAGCGCTATAGAAACAATGGCAAGCTTAGGAGGAGGATGGGAGGGATCCAGGAAATCCTACTCTTGTAGCCCCATATACCCTACTTTCAAATGCTGATATTAAAAAATAGGGATTTACTCATATGTTTTGTATAAGCTCTTCAGGTTTTTCTGACAATTTACATGAGATTTTCACCATTTGAAAGAATAATTAATTGGCGATTTTTTAACCTAAAACCAACAGGCATGTCATGTTGGTACATGAAAAATATAGATTTCATTAACATCACTGCATAAATGATGGTTATGAATAAACTATAGGAAATTATTGATTATTATTTTATAACAAAAATAATAAATTACCATTTTATAAATGTACCTTGTATTAGGTATTGTATGAAGATTCTTTTTTTTTCCACCGATATAAGTCATAATATATAGACATATTTATTTTTTATGTCTTTTATTTATTAATTGAATTTACTTTTGCCTGCCACAAGGGACCCATGTGGTTGAAAGTAAAAAAATGGATATATCAATGTATTTTACTTCATATTAGCTCATGTTGATTGATTATTTGATTAAGTCAGTATCATTTATATTTTATATTTTTAAGCATATGAAGTATTTCATTTATTACTGCAGGGACCTGGGAGAACACCTGCGCATCAGAGTGTCAGAGGCATTTAGACTTGGTGATGCTACTCCCACAGATGAAGCAGATTGCCAGAGGGTCTGCGCTTCTTTAAATCGCATAGCAAACAATAGTTATGCTACAAGGTAAGTAACTTTTATGTCTAGTGAGAAAGATCAAGGCAATTGTTATTGATCTTAAATAATTCTCAAGCACTTCTTTTACTCAGAACTGATTTTTTCCAAGATTAATTTTTTGATACATCTCTAGAATCAGTTTTGATTTTAATAAACCTCTACTTTCAGATATCCTCGTAAATTAACCAGTACATCAACAGGGGTCACAGTTCAGGAGTGTCATCAGATTGCCTCAACAGCTATATATATATATATATATATATATATATATATATATATATATATATATATATATATATATATATATATATATATATATATATATATATATATATATATATATATATATATATATATATATATATATATATATATATATATATATATATATATATATATATATATATATATATATATATATATATATATATATATATATATATATATATATATATATATATATATATATATATATATATATATATATATATATATATATATATATATATATATATATATATATATATATATATATATATATATATATATATATATATATATATATATATATATATATATATATATATATATATATATATATATATATATATATATATATATATATATATATATATATAT